TGTTACTAATATTAACAGTTATGGTCAGCACAGCCTACGTAGTGGTGGTGCTACAGCTGCAGCAAACAACGGCATACCAGACCGCATGTTTAAGAGACATGGAAGATGGAAAAGTGAGAATGCTAAGGATGGTTACATTAAAGATAGTATTGATAACAGAATGAAAGTTTCTCTTTCTCTTGGACTTTGACTTTCTTTGTAGCTCTCGGCCGTGCAGCGCACAGCGTGTCCCATTGTCAAATGTGTTGTTATGTTGCGTAACGGTTGGTATAGGAGAAATGTCATTTCTTTCGGTTGAAGGATGAATAAGAAGGAAATTACTTTCTCCTAGTGGTGTGGAGCTTTGATGTAAGTAGAGTAGTCTGGGCCAGTAGGTGGCGCTAAACAGGGTATTTAAGGGTATTAAGATTTGAATTGTTCATTCTCGCTCTAGTGCAAGCACGGCCATTACGTCATACCTTATATGCAAAAACATATTTGTGTTCAGTATTTGTGTTGTATGTTTCAGGTTTTGCTGGCAGTGGGACTAAGATCTGTTGTAATCCAGGTGTGTTGCTGTTGCTAGTTTCATAGCCAGTGTGCGATACTAATAATATAAACTGCTGTATGTGCAGTCATACGATGATGTATATTGCGTGGGCATGATGTTATATACTAATGTGCAGTCATACGATGATGTATATTGCTGTGGGCTGAAGAGCCGTTATAATACTAATGTAAACTGCTGTATGTGCAGTCATACGATGATGTATATTGCTGTGGGCTGAAGAGCCGTTATAATACTAATGTAAACTGCTGTATGTGCAGTCATACGATGATGTATATTGCTGTGGGCTGAAGAGCCGTTATAATACTAATATAAGCTGCTGTATGTGCAGTCATACGATGATGTATATTGCTGTGGGCTGAAGAGCCGTTATAATACTAATGTAAGCTGCTGTATGTGCAGTCATACGATGATGTATATTGCTGTGGGCTGAAGAGCCGTTATAATACTAATGTAAGCTGCTGTATGTGCAGTCATACGATGATGTATATTGCTGTGGGCTGAAGAGCCGTTATAATACTAATATAAGCTGCTGTATGCAGTCATACGATGATGTATATTGCTGTGGGCTGAAGAGCCGTTATAATACTAATATAAGCTGCCTGCTGTATGTGCAGTCATACGATGATGTATATTGCTGTGGGCTGAAGAGCCGTTATAATACTAATATAAGCATGAGTCATATACGATGATGTATATTGCTGTGGGCTGAAGAGCGTTATAATACTCAATGTAAGCTGCTGTATGCAGTCATACGATGATGTATATTGCTGTGGGCTGATGTGCTGTATGTGCAGTCATACGATGATGTATATTGCTGTAATATGCCGTTATAATACTCAATGTAAGCCGCTGTATGTGCAGTCATACGATGATGTATATTGCTGTGGGCTGATGATAATATATTGTAAGGTGTCATACGCGCAGTCGGTATGCTGTGTTATGTTGTAGTAAAACAGACAAGTTGTGTTATAATATTGTATATACACGCATGCAGTACACTTATTGTGGGTTCCTATGATGATGGATGCATTCTAAAATATACTTGTTTAGTATATTACTTTAGTTACTTGTGTGTACTGTATTTAAGGTGCAGGATATATATACTAGATCACATGTATATCGTAAAACCTCCGGTAGTTGCTGCTTCGGTGCATTCGTTGAGGGAACACGGTAAGCATTTTCTCCAAGAGAGCTGGCGTTGCGGGCAGCAGCAAGATACGTGGATCAGCGCATGTTGCAGTCGAATAAATCTCCGCCGCAGATGCACAGCGCCCAGTCGGTATATAGTGAACTACATTGATGTAACATGGTATATAAAGTGAACTACAGCGTTGCAACAACATGGCATATAGTGGACTACAGTGTTGTAACATGGTATAGTGAACTACAGTGTTGTAAATACGATATATAGGACTACGGTGTTGTAACATGGTGCATAGTGGACTACAGTGTTGTAACATGGTATACAGTGAACTACAGCGTTGTAACATGGCATACAGTGAACTACAGTGCCACAGTAACATGGCATACAGTGAACTACAGTATTGTAACATGGCATACAGTGAACTAAGCGCGTTTCGTAAATTACGGCATACAGTGAACTACAGTGTTGTAACATGGTATACAGTGAACTACAGTGTTGTAACATGGCATATAGTAGACTTCATGCGTTGTAAATACGGTACAAGCAGTGAACTACAGTGTTGTAAATACGGTACAGTGAATCACATTGATGTAACATGATATAGTGGATCACGGTGCTGTAACATTGGCAAGTAGTGACTACAGTGTTGTAACATGGTATGGTGAACTGCTGCGTTGTAACGCGGTATATAGTGAACTGCTGCGTTGTAACATGGTGCATAGTGAACTACAGTGTTGTAACATGGCATACAGTGAACTGCTGGAAAGTGCTGTAACATGGCATACAGTGAACTGGCAGCAAGTTGCAACATGGCATAATAAGTGAACTACAGCGTTGCAACATGGCATATTAAGTGAACTACAGCGTTGTGAACATGGCATACAGTGAACTACAGTGTTGTAAATACGGTATACAGTGAACTGCGTTGTAACATGGTATTACAATTAAAAGTGAACTGCCATGTTGTGACATGGCATGGTGGCAGACTACAGTGTTGTAACATGGCATACAGTGAACTACAGCGTTGCAAACATTGTATATAGTGAACTACAGTGTTGTAACATGGGCATATGAAAGTGAACTACATTGTTGTAACATGGCATATAGTGAACTGCTATGCTTGCAAATTACGGCATATAGTGAACTACAGCAGTTGTAACATGGCCATAGTGGACTACATTATTGTAACATGGCATACAGTGAACTGCGTTGTAACATGGCATATAGCGGACTACAGTGTTGTAACATGGTATATAGTGAACTGCTAACGTTGTAACATGGCATATGCGGATTACGCGTTGTAACATGGCATGTAGTGAACTACAACGCTGGTAATTACGGTATATGGTGTTGTAACATGGTACAGTGAACTACAGTGTTGTAACATGGTGTATAGTGGACTACAGTGTTGTAACATGGTATATAGTGAACTACAGTGTTGTAACATGGTATATAGTGAACTACAGTGTTGTAACATGGTATATAGTGAACTACAGTGTTGTAACATGGTATATAGTGGACTACAGTGTTGTAACATGGTATATAGTGGACTACAGTGTTGTAACATGGTATATAGTGAACTACAGTGTTGTAACATGTTGTAACATGGTATATAGTGAACTACAGTGTTGTAACATGGTATATAGTGAACTACAGTGTTGTAACATGGTATATAGTGAACTACAGTGTTGTAACATGGTATATAGTGGACTACAGTGTTGTAACATGGTATATAGTGGACTACAGTGTTGTAACATGGTGTATAGTGGACTTCAGTGTTGTAACATGGTATATAGTGGACTACAGTGTTGTAACATGGTATACAGTGAACTACAGTGTTGTAACATGGTGTACAGTGAACTACAGTGTTGTAACATGGTATATAGTGAACTACAGTGTTGTAACATGCATGGTATATAGTGAACTACAGTGTTGTAACATGGTACAGTGTTGTAACATATAGTGAACTACAGTGTTGTAACATGGTATATAGTGAACTACATGGTGTATAGTTGTAACATGGTATATAGTGAACTACAGTGTTGTAACATGGTATATAGTGAACTACAGTGTTGTAACATGGTATATAGTGAACTACAGTGTTGTAACATGGTATACAGTGAACTACAGTGTTGTAACATGGTGTATAGTGAACTACAGTGTTGTAACATGGTATATAGTGAACTACAGTGTTGTAACATGGTATACAGTGAACTACAGTGTTGTAACATGGTATATAGTGAACTACAGTGTTGTAACATGGTATACAGTGAACTACAGTGTTGTAACATGGTATATAGTGAACTACAGTGTTGTAACATGGTATATAGTGAACTACAGTGTTGTAACATGGTATACAGTGAACTGGTATACAGTGTTGTTGTAACATGGTATATAGTGAACTACAGTGTTGTAACATGGTATATGGTATATAGTGAACTACAGTGTTGTAACATGGTATATAGTGAACTACAGTGTTGTAACACATGTGTTGTAACATGGTGTTGTAACATGGTATATAGTGAACTACAGTGTTGTAACATGGTATACAGTGAACTACAGTGTTGTAACATGGTATACAACTACATGGTATATAGTGAACTACAGTGTTGTAACATGGTGTATAGTGAACTACAGTGTACAGTGTTGTAACATGGTATACAGTGAACTACAGTGTTGTAACATGGTATATAGTGAACTACAGTGTTGTAACATGGTATATAGTGAACTACAGTGTTGTAACATGGCATATAGTGGACTACAGTGTTGTAACATGGTATATAGTGAACTACAGTGTTGTAACATGGTATACAGTGAACTACAGTGTTGTAACATGGCATATAGTGGACTACAGTGTTGTAACATGGTATATAGTGAACTACAGTGTTGTAACATGGTATATAGTGGATGGTTGTTTATACAGTGTTGTAACATGGTATAACATGTTGTAACATGGTATATAGTGGATTACAGTGTTGTAACATGGTATACAGTGAACTACAGTGTTGTAACATGGCATATAGTGGACTACAGTGTTGTAACATGGTATACAGTGAACTACAGTGTTGTAACATGGTATACAGTGAACTACAGTGTTGTAACATGGTATACAGTGAACTACAGTGTTGTAACATGGTGTATAGTGAACTACAGTGTTGTAACATGGTATACAGTGAACTACAGTGTTGTAACATGGTATACAGTGAACTACAGTGTTGTATCATGGTATACAGTGAACTACAGTGTTGCAACATGGCATATAGTGGACTACAGTGTTGTAACATGGTTTATAGTGAGTACACTGACCTAATATCCCTCCAGCAGCGCTAATCAGCGTCGCCTTCCAGTCAACAGCATGGATGAGCCTGTCAGAATAAAATGCTGCTGTTAAAATGCCGTATACTTGGTTGCACAGGCATCACCATTTGAGTTGGTTCGTGTGATTAACTAACGCCGCTGTGGGAGGTATCTCAATTCCCAAAATGTCTTAAAGTGATGACTGTTTTAAACTTTGATCTCTTTTGTGAAACCCACGGGTGTGCTGATAAATTAAGGTAAATAGTCAATTCCATAGCACAATTCCAATAGATCCCTAGTACACATCATGTATCCCCTGTGTAATGATGCTACCTGACCACTGAAGGTGTGTCCTTCTTTATGTGTAAAGATGCTACCGGACAACCGGAGGCGTCTCCCCTCTCTTGGTGTGTAAAGACAACATGTTACCTACCCACTGAAGGTGTGTCCCCTCCTCTTCAGCCCCGCCCCATTCATGAAACAGATGGTCCTCGTCCCACCCTCCCATATGGTGTACTTCCCACCTCTCAGCGGATAGTTATTTCCGTAGTTTTCAAGATCGCCGCCATTCTGAAAAGTTCAAAAGTATTTTCTTTAATGCAACGATGGAACGAACTTCATCGAGACAACATCTGATGGTATCAATAATTTTCCATCCATATATACGTACAATTGACATGTACTTACGTCTGACAGAAACAGAATAAGAGTATCTTCAAATATGCCTTTGTCTTTGAGTGCCTTGGTTACATTTCCAACGGCGTCGTCCAGAGCTGACGCCATAGCTACGGGAGGAAAAAAGAATTTACTGCTACTACAACTACTACTACTACTACTACTACTGTTGCTGCTGCTGCTGCTGTTGCTACTACTACTACTACTACTACTGCTGTTGCTACTACTACTACTGCTGCTGCTGTTGCTACTACTACTACTACTGTTGCTGCTGTTGCTACTACTACTACTACTGTTGCTGCTGTTGCTACTACTACTACTACTGCTGCTGCTGCTGTTGCTACAACTACTACTGCTGCTGCTGTTGCTACTACTACTACTACTACTGCGACTGTTACTGCCGCTGTTACTACCACTCCTACTCCTCCTACTACAGCTACAGTTAGGTGCTACTGCCTCTAATACTACCACCACAACTACTACTCCCGTTACGACAAGAATGGGTTGCTGCAAAACCAACTCTAACCGAGGACCTTCTGTGAAGTCGAAATAGAGAATACTAAACGATGTTCCGTGTAATATCGTATTTATGAAACGAGTGAATGGTTTGGTATCTAACGAGCGAAAGCGAGTTAGATACCAATACCATTCACGAGTTTCATACATACGGAATTACACGGGACATTGTTTAGTATTTCATTTATTACTCACCCAACATTAGCAAAATAATATCGAGCAAAGTACTTCTTTCAACGAGTGTGATGACTCTGAACGTTCTGCGAGTCAAGCAAGGTCTAATACCATTGTGACATAGGTATTAGCACTGTGACGTCATAACTGTAAACCACTTTGACGTCATACGTACGGCATCACGCGATGTTATTATACAATGTGTAATAACATTGTAAACATATTAAACAGTGGTATCTTCAATGGTTGAGTAATAAATTGGAGAAGTACCTGAGAGGAAACGCCGCCCTTCGTTCTTCACATGGGGATACATGTCGTAATACTTGGATGGAGCCTGCAGCGGAAGGGTGAGACTTTCACCTTAGTTACAGAGGGATATAGCGTTATGTATTAGGGTGTCCTCATTGTTGAAACCCACTAGCACTTAATGTCATTGACAGTCATAATCAGAGCGACAAACAATACTGCAATTGTAGTGCAAAGTTTATCTCTTTTTTAAATACATAAAAATATACTGTATAATACTAAAAATTAAAAACTAAAAAAGTTTTTAAAAAAACTAAAAATTGCGCATTTTGACACAGGACCATCTCACAATACAACTGCAGTTTGAAATGGATGGCACGTGATCCATCCATTCCTCCACGCGATGCCCGTCAGGTAGAAATGAGAATTACCCTTTCAACAAAAACGTTTTGTTGGTCTGTTGTTTAACGCCGCACCCAGCAATATTCCAGCTATACGGCGGCGGACTGTGAATAATCGAGTCTGGACCAGACAATCTAGTGATTGACCTACGCAATTGGGATACGATGACGCATCAGCCAAGTCAGCGAACCTGACCACCCAATCCCGTTATTCGCCTTTTTACGACAAGCTTCAGTTACTAAAGACCAATTCTAGCCCGGATCTTCACGGGTATGCAAGTATTATTGCTGCCTCACGGTGCAAATAATCGAGTCAGACAATCCAGTGATCAGCATCATGAGCATCGATCTACGCCTTTGGGATACGATGACATGAGTCGACCAAGTCAGACCCCTGACCACCCGATCCCGTTTGTCTCCTCCTTCGACAAGCATGGGTTACTGAAGATCAATTCTAACCTGATCTTCAAGGGTCTAACACATACCTAGTGTCATCAATGAATTCCCTTCAATGAACAATACATATGTTTTCAACTGTTATGCCGTTTACGCTCAAAGCCTGTCTCGGCAGATACTCGAGAGTGATTACTCCCTAGCGTTGACGTAGTATGTGTCAGGGAGGTGACCCAGAGCAAGGTGAAGGTCGGTGTTACCTGCAGAGGTTCGTGCACGTTTTGCATGGCGACATAGAGGAACAGAGGCTGGTTGACATCATGTGTATGGATAACCTCCGTGGCTTTGTCCACAAATGTGTACTAAAGTGGAACAATCAAAAACACAGTCAATCCAAGTGTAAGTGATGCGTGTCGCCAATTGATCGACTTCGCCCATCACTTATGGGTAAAATATGTGAAACCAATTCCGGGTCTCCCCAACCGCCTATTGTTGGAATCGTGTTAGAGGCGCCGTAAAATCACATGATATTCAGAAACTTGATATGCAAGGTTCGGTGGAGTTTTGTCAGGATAATCATGTTTTGTTTGTTGTCTAACACCTCACATGGCAATATTCTAGCTATATGGAATATGCAAATAATCGAGGCTGGACCAGTCAATCCAGTGATCAATATCATGAGCATCAATCTACGTAACTGGTATACGGTAACGTTCAACCAAGTCAGGGTGTCTGCTCAACCGATCCCTTTAGTCGCCTCTTAGGGCAAGCAAGAGTTGCTGAGGACCAATTACCCGGATTATCAGGGGTCCATCTATGCACTAATATGGGAAGGTTAAGAGGTGGTGAGGTGAAATTGGGTTTAACGTCGTGCTTGAGAATATTTCGCTCATATGCGTGTGTATGTGTAAGTGCGGCTGCTTGTACTAGCCCACACTGAAGCTGGTTTTATAGTGCTAGCCCACTGAGATACCATGCCGCAGTGAAGCATGAATACCCCACTCAGACACATTATACTGACTCCGAGCCAACCAGTCCTTGTTGTACCCATTAATGCCGAGCGCCAGGCAGGGACCAACAAGTACCATATTTGAACGTCTTTTGGTATGACGCGGTCGGGGATCGAACCCGCGACCTTCCGCTCTCCGGGCGGACACTCTAACCACTACACCACGGAGGCGGTCTGGAAGGTTAAGAGCAATGTGTAAACGTAACTTAACGTTACAGCAGGATGCTGTTTATATTAGGAGGTGACGGAACGATGCCACGACAGCACCCGACCGTAGGGTTAATTCTAGCCCAGTTGTGGCCATCTTTGAATGACTATATCATGATAGATTTGCTGTAGGAATATTAGGTGTTCTTAAGCATCAACATTTACATCACCATACTCTCCAATAAGAACATCATCATCAACATTAATGTCAATATTGCCATTATTCCTATCAACATCAGTTATAAAAGAACCAGGAACCGCTAAGATTGACTGTATTGGTGTTGTCATCAACAGTAACACTGTGTGGAGTTAGAAGACATATTTACCTTCGGTTTTGGTTTGATGACGTCACTGTTTCCCCATTTATCTTTCACTTACCGCGGAGTAGACGTCTTCGTACTCCGTCGCCGGGTCTGTGTTTTCACGGTAGTCAAGGTAACCCTCTAAACAAAAAAACAACAACGATGGAATGCATAATTAGATTTATCGAAGACGCGTTTGTCTAATTTGGTGGCAATCGAAAGTGAAACAACATCTGCCCAAAACAAAGGTTTATGCATTTGGAGCATGCACAAGGTTGTTGTACCTGTTCAGAGCTTTGCACTCAAACCATGGGTTAACTCTCAGCATATATAGAGTTCGTCATAGATTTGCGAAATGAAATGAACCTCTGTAATTGAAAAAACGTGAGCGAGTTGGTTAGCGCCTTAAATTCCCCTTAACTTCTGATTCCAACGGCATGGGGTGAAACAAATAGACTGAGCCGTCGGTTGAAAGCGGTCCGCTGAATAGAGAAATATGGAAGAGATAGTTTCCGGGTTGTATCGATGGATATTCCTACAGTTGAGGACGTGTGGCTTCCAAAGCCCTATATCAAAATTCCCACATCAAAATCCATCGGGATCACAAACAACATGAAACAGGCGCATGGCTGATCCTAACCTCACAGCCAAAGTGAATTCCGCCAACTTTATCTGTTGGAATATTGCAGGACTATTAACTTGATATGTTAAACGTTTGGAGGGGCGGTGGGGTAGCCTAGTGGTTAATGCATACCCTCGTCACGCGTGAAGCCCATTTCTGGAGTCCCCCCCGCCGTGATATTGATGGAATATTGCTAAAAGAGGCGTAAAACTAAGCTCACTCACTCACACACTAATAACTTTGGCTTTGTCCACTGGAAATTTGGATGTTTAACCTGGAACCATATAGCATATGGTATTGCTTTTCTTACTGAGAACACTGTGTTTAAGTACCATATATTTTAATTTTCTAGATAGGGCCAGATTGACTGGCTCAGTATCTGTGTACATTAACTGTACAACTACTGTTTTAGTTACTAATGGCTCCTTTACAAGAATTGGTGACGTCTACGTCAGTGGTAGTCAGTGCCAGAATATGTGCGATCTCTTGTTTTCTGATAGAACATTAACCCGTGAAGATCCGGGTTAGAACTGGCTTTCAGCAACCCGTGTTAGTCGTAACAGACGGCATCGGGTGATCATATTGATGACTGGCATTGGGACACGACACGTGGAGGGAGTGTTTGATTTACGTGGAAGGAAAGGCCGAGCCGATGCCTCCCTAACAATGTGGGTGCATTACAAGAAAGTATCTTCTCTTTCATGGATAGTGATTTGACATATCTAATACCAATATAAATACTGTGGGAATATAACACCCACCCTGCCCAGTTTGACGGAGCCGTCCGTTGTTAACTAAGATTGTTCAGATATTGCCACATTCATGATTCATTCAATATTGAATAAACTTCATGCATAACAACTTGTTATATTCCGTGAGAGCGACGTTTCGGTACAAACTCTTGTCCTGCTTGACAATGGTGCAAGAATCTGTATCAAACGTTGCACTCACGAAATAAGAGAAGGTGTTATCAAAACAATTTGTTCAATACCATACGTCCCAACTTCTAAAATGCCACTCAAAAAAAATGATTCACTCGGTTTCAACAAAAGGCAGAGTTCAATCTACCGTTGGTGTGTGCAAAATGATCCTCATCCGAGCCAAAATACCCAAAGAAGGAGTCGAACCCTCGATATGTCGGCGTGCAATTCCAGTTACAGAACCCGAGGTGCCATCTTAAGAAAGAAAAAATGAAGAATTTATTACCAATATCTTTGACATTCTTACAAAGGCTTTCACATTTGAACAAACCAAAACATTTCGCTTTGACCTTTAATTGTATTGGCGCATTATTTTTGTCTCTTGATTTTCATAATCCGAAAACAAATCAGACATTACTAACCTGCCCACCGCGATCAGTCGATCAGTCCTCAAGCGTTCGAATAACTGTTGGTTCTATATTTTTTCTAAATAAAAATCTAGACTTTGCAATGACATGTTGTTTTTATGTTATGATTAACATATATTTCAAATTTGAACGAAATCGGTGAAGAAATAAAGATATTACAAAATTCTACCGCTACGCTCATTTCATAAAATGTTACATTAAATAAAGTCTAGATTTTTACTTTTAAAAATCATTATCCAGACAGCGATTGGAACCCCCTTTTAATCCGTCGACTTACTTGCCCACCATGTGTGTAGCATAGCCCAGCTTCTTCAGTTCCTCGGGCAGCAGGCTATAAGTATGTGGAGCGCAGACGGCAGCACGGTTCATAATCACCAGATGCTAAAAAGACAGATACAAGTTTGGAACCATTATGTTTTCCGCATGTGAACGCAGGCTACCTTCCTGCAGCTACCCTCTTTACAAAGGCTCTCGTACCACGATATTATTACCTACCTTGTTACAATACATTCTTCAAATAAGAAACACACGGTTCATCTTAGAAAACACATCGAATTCCATCTCGACGTTAGAGAAGCATCTCTGAAGTAGAACTCGCCGCCAATGCAGACGTCCCCATACCGGGACAAATTCCCCGGCCCTAATCCAGCACTGTCAGATGATTCAAACCAAGCCTGTGGTCGAGGACGCGAGTGCATTTACAAATGTACCCGTGAAGATCCGGGTTAGAATTGATCTTCAGTGACCCATGCTTGTAGTAAGTGGTGACTAACGGGATTGGGTGGTCAGGCTCGCTGACTTGGTTGACATGTCATCGTATCCCATTTGCGTAGATCGATGCTCGTGATGTTGATCACTGGATTGTCTGGTCCAGACTCGATTATTTACAGACCGCCGCCATATAGCTGGAATATTGCTGAGTGTGTCGTTAAACAACAACCAACCAACCAACATGTAAATGTTACGACGTGTTCACATGAAATCAAGTTGGGTGTGTAATTAAGGTATCAGGTATATCGAGCCCAGACACAGACCTTGAAAATTCCTCAGTCTGTTCACACACGTTTGCATGTTTTGCTGTGCGTTTACATTACAAAGTATACAACATTTACGTACAGAGCAAATTGCATAAGCATAATTTAAATTAACGCTTGCTCCTGACCACATACAAATTTGAGACTTTGGTAATGGGGGACGGGGTGCAGATTGTTCCACTTGTACCCTGCCGGCTGTGGAACGTTCGACTAATCCGAGGATTATCGACCGCGGCTTAAGACAACATTCACTCACACTACACGTCATGCGGTGGGAAAACAATAAAGTAGTACCTGAAGTCCGACCTTGTATGGGAAGACTCCTGTCATCAGCGCAGCCCTGGTGCTGCAAGTGTATTTGTGTTATGGTTCAGATCACATTTAAAGACTCATCTGCGCTCACGTTAACAAGCAATAAATCAGACAGACATCTTCATCCTGTGATAGGGGCGGTGGGGGAGCCTAGTGGTTAAAACGATCGCTCGTCACGCCGAAGACCCGGGTTTGATTCTCTACATGGGTACGATGTGTGAAGCCCATTGCTGGTATCGCCCGGCGTGATATTGCTGGAATATTTTAAAAAGCGTCATACAACTCCCTCATCCCTAAGTGTATCTGAAATAGGTCTCCCAGTTAGTGCAAATATAGAATAGAAGAGTGGACTTTTTAAGTACGCTTAGACGAGAATTTGACAGTATAGTATCACAGCGGATGCCGGATAAAATCCGGTGTTGAATTTATCTGTTTACCATTCTGGTGAAACCAACGAATATATGGTGCTGACACACATTTCAAGACAACCGGGCAGACCAAGATTCGAACTCAATACTGTAGGTTTGTTGACCTTAGAGGATTGGACCATTGGTGCCTCAATCAGAGGAAGAGAAATGAATCCTCTCCTTGATAACTTTTGGTTTCCGACTTTCTCCATATGCTGTCCGCGGCGTTACAGTAACTCATCAAAAAGATATATTTTAGTCTCACCAATATATACTACCGGGCAAAAAGAAAGTTATCACTTTTAAAGATATTGTATAAAAAACAAAATCGCTGGTATAGGTTTGAACCCAAGCAGAAAACATTCGCCAAAACGCAACATTGTCTCGACAACACCGCAGCTGTTTCGAAATTGAAAAACGTAATTGTGGGACATTCGTCCAAATGCACGTGGATGGTTGTGGCATAAATACCGATGTTGGACAGAGTAAGCATGCAGTAACCAGAAACCACCACGAACATGCCAAGACTTACGCAACGAGACAGGGCGATCGGTATGACTAATATGGTGGCTTCACAATGTCAGCTGGCAAGAACCTTCAACTGCAGTCAGGCCACCATCAGTAAATTAATAAACTGCTACCAGAAAACAGGCCAGACCCAACACCGCCCAAGATCGGGAAGATCAAGAGTCGGCCGAAGACGTCTACGTACGGCAGTTCCACCTCTGGAACAGATTCGTGACGGCGAGAGCAGTAGAACATGTCACCAGCAGACGAACACTCCTAGTTCGTATGACTGGTATCCTAGACTACCTTCCGTGGAATGGCCTTGACCCGTCTACACCGTCAACGCAGACTGCAATGGACACGAACTGTACGTGGGTAGCAGCGACGTGATTGGGAAAGAGTACTCTTTACACATGAACGTTGGTTCAGTCTGTTTAGAAACGATGGCAGTGTTCGAGGTTTTCGACGTAGGGGAGAGGGACTGGCGCGAAATTGCGTTCAAGAAATTCATTGGCTTGATGGAAGAGCCGTCCGGAATTTGTGGCCCCAGAACAAGACTGGTTATCATTCGAGGAAATATAAATGCCAAGCGATACAGGGATGAAGCGTTGAGACTTTTTCTGGTGCAATTTATTCGATAACAGCCAAGAGGAGTCATTTTGAAACACGACAACGCAAGGCCTCACACCGCCAGAATTGTTCGAATATACCCGCACAACAGTAACGCTAACGTTTTGCTTTGACCAGTGCGTGCTCCAGACATGAACCCCAATGAACATTTATGGGATCATCTTGATCGCCAGCTGAGACAGCGTGTACCACCTCTATTAAACCGACAGGAACTTGACCAGACTCTCTTGGATTTGTGGAACAGGATTCGTGCTGACGTCATCCGCCAACTGACGACGTTAATGAGGAGACGTGTGCCCTGACTCCTGTCGCATTATGTGACTCTATGCACTTTTGAATGAATTCAATTTAATTTTAATTATGTCCTCTTTCTTAATGAATTGCGGCAAATGCAAGACCAACATTACAATGAATTAGCAGTCAAATTATGGGAATATGATTTCTGTTTGTAAAATTATTATCCTAAATCTCTCATAGTCTTGATTCTATTTTTGGGTCAGGTGAAGTCGGCGACAACTTTCTTTTGCTCGGTAGCTGAGTTTAGTGCAGTACATCATTCAAATCAACATCTCGGACAATATACAGTTGAAATCAACGATATAAAGGTATACACATGTCTTGATGGTTTCTTTACACACTCGCACACACACACACACGCATACACACGTACATACAAACACATACACACATATGCACGTACTCCCTTCCCACTGTATTTCGTGTAGAGTTCTTGTATGCAGCGTGGCTTATTATCCCCCTCGCAGAGACCAAACGACAAAGCGATCGATCACATTTTCTCATAATCGAACACAAACAGTTTTGGAACTACTATTTTAATGTTTGAAACACATGACAATGGAACTTCACTTACTTAAAGTCATGACTGAATATTTCTTGAAGATTCTGGGAAGTTAATGTTCATGATATATTAGTCATCACTTTAAAGTAGCAAGTTGCATCATTTTAAATTTGAAGTGAAATTTGCAAATAAATAAATAGATAGATATATAAAACACAACAACAGAGAACCATGTTATACTTATCTGTAATAACAAAGTGAATAGTAAAATCTGAAAAATTATGCTAACCAATGTTTTTCGATGATTGCTCGTTGGTAATGAACCAATTATCAAGTGTGAGATTTCAACCAATTCCCAACACTACTACAACCCCTCCTCTAGCCTGCATCCCCACCCCGACTCACGGACTGCACAATGGCGGAGTGTAGGCGTTGTCCATCACCACCCCCTCACTCCTCCTTGAACGCACCCCCGACTCACGGGCTGCACAATGGCTGAGTGTAGGCGTTGTCCATCACCACCCCTCACTAGCCCCCCAACCCTCCCCCAATCCCGACTCACGGGCTGCACAATGGCTGAGTGTAGGCGTCGTCCATCACCACCCCTCACTCCTCCTTGAACGCACCCCCGACTCACGGGCTGCACAATGGCTATCAGTGTCAGGCGTTGTCCATCACCACCCCTCACTGCACAATGGCTCCTTGTCCCCCCCCTCATCCCGACTCACGGGCTGCACAATGGCTGGAGTGTAGGCGTTGTCCATCACCACCCCGACTCACTCCTCCTTGAACGCACCCCCCTCACTGGCCCCTACTCACGGGCTGCACAATGGCTGTGTGTGTGTAGCGTCGTCCATCGCCACCCCTCACTAGCCCCTAGCTCCTACCCCCACCCCCACCCCACCCCCAACTCACGGGCTGCACAATGGCTGTGTGTAGGCGTTGTCCATCACCACCCCCTCACTAGCCAGCTTGTCTATGTTTGGAGTCAGCATGTCGGGGTTGTGGTAACCGACGTCGTTCCAGCCTAAAGGCACAAAGCATTAAGCAGTTAGGCTTTTGATTTTGCAGCAGTCGAATACCAAGTTTGGGTTCACGTTGAACCGAAACAAGCCACGCATATAACAGTAGTAGAAACATCAAAAAACACCATGCGAAAAATCAAACCCGTCTGTATGCAGAGGAACCCCAAATCGCACGCCTATTCAACCACAAATATTAGGGTTACCATTGAAGTTGATAAGTGTAGGTATTGATAATAAGCTCAAGTTCCTTTTCGAATATTGTAAAAATATTCTGAGTACATGAGAGAAAGCACACTTTCAACAAGAATGACTTGTCTTGTTTTAGAGGCATTTAGAAGTAGTATAAGAAGGATAACAAATATACGATGAACAACTTCTTTTTTAGCGAGAGCGACGCTCCGGTGTAGGTTCAAGCACCGTTATCAAGCGATGATCACAATGTTAAGAACCTGCACCGAAACGTCGCTCTCGCTATAATGAAGATGTTGGTCATCCATACATTGTTATCCCTCCTCAGCAATAGGGGCGGTGGGGTAGCCTAGTGGTTAAAGCGTTGGCTCGTCATGCCGAAGACCCGGGTTCGATTCCCCACATGGGCACAATGTGTGAAGCCCATTTCTGGTGTCCCCCGCCGTGATATTGCTGGAATATTGCTAAAAGCGGCGTAAAACTAAACTCAGTCAGTCAGTCCTCAGCAATAACTTACCTAGGTCGTCTGCGACGATCAAAACAATATGAGGTTGTTTGGGTTTGGAGATAACGACGGGCAGGAGAATCGCAACCAAAACCAGACCTAGATACACACTGTCCATGACGTCATGCGTAATGTTGAAGCCGTTCCCAAGTTTCTCTGGTCAACAAATCACTTGTGGACAGAAAGTATTCCTTAAAATATACAAGCTGGTCGTATGTTGTATGTGTGTCTGCGTCTGAATGGTAGAGCGTCCATGCGGGTTTGTTCCCTGTGCCACAGACCCCAGGTAGAGGGTGAGATTACCAGCTGTGAGACCACGATAGAATCTTGTACCTACCAGGATGAATCCAGGGAAGCGGAACAAGCTCTGACTGTCTGGTATTGAACTACAACTGGCTGATTCATGTCCAAGTCGGGCGGTCCATTCAGAATCCTGGGTAGAGGGGTGTTGAGAAAGTTTGTCCGTATATTCTCGAAAATTCAGCGTAAAAATAATGTGCCCAGGTTTCAGAAACACATTTGGAACACCTGTGGGCGACCACAGTAGTAATAATCTGTTTTATACGTAACACTCAATGTCATATCACCGCCACATCTCCATCCCCTGCCTACCCTGAATAAACAATGGACTTTCCCTGATGATATTCAATGTTTTACAATATCGAATGTTTAATTGTTTATCAACGTGGTATGTTATTCAGAGCAAAGCTGGATGTGAATATATAATGAAAAGTGAAAAAAACCCACTTGAATAAATAAACGTATTGAACGTCATAATGAGCAACGGTGTTTAATCATGGACATAAACGATGTGGCAATTGGTTGCTGGTGTTTTGTAACATCTGTAGTTTGTGTTGTATATGTTTTCAAATTCAGTTACTGTGTTGATTTGTTGGTTGTTGTTTAACGCCGCACTCAGCAATATTCCAGCTATATGGCGGCGGTCTGTACATAATCCAGTCTGGAGCAGACAATCCAGTGATCAACAGCATGAGCATCTACTGGGATACAATGACATGTGTCAACCAAGTCAGCGAGTCTCACCACCCGATCCCGTTATGTAATCTAATGTTCCGTTTACTGCTTTGGTTAAATTGTGTCATAGTGAAAAAAAATAGTCAAAGCTATATTGTATCCACATGGGCTTGTAACGCTAAAAACTGCCATCAAGGTATGTACTGTCACTAACGGGGTCTTTGCACTCCTTTTATATAGTGCTAAGACCCCGATAATGACAGTACGTACCTTGATGGCAGTTTTTAGCGTTACAAGCCCCTGTGATTGTATCTAGAAGTCTTTGTGGCGTCTCTATGCCTGTACAGCAGGTGTATGTTGTTTTACGACGCACGCAGCAATGTATTATATATAACGGCGAGCTGAAAAACCAGATCAGACAGTCAGGTGACTGGTATGTTGAACGTGTATCCACGCAAATGAACTAAGAATACATGCAATCACCTAGGTTACCTAACCTGACCAAACGATCCTTTAAGTCTCACACGACTAGTATATGTTTCTGGGGACCATATCCCACCTGTTGTCTCTCGCAAGAGTAATTTTTACTTGATGTGGATTTATTCCTGTCTTTGCAGCAATGAAACCATTATCTGTATATTTGCTTGTTACATGAAACCGCTTCTGTCAATATTCTGCCTATATAACGCCTCCCTGTACCTAAGCGAGGCTGGATGAGACGAGCGAGTGATTACAATCAGCGTCCTACACGGTCTAGAAACAATTACGTGCAGTCAACCAAGTTGCCAGTCCTTCCCGATTCCTACCGATGCAACTGACCCCACTGTATTACACTGTTCCTCCACCTCATTTGGCATTATCTTATATGATTCAGGGGATTCAGGTCAATTCAGGGGGATGATTCAGGTCATTAAGTAGCTTGGTGAAATATTCTACAACCGCACTGACGTTCATTTCAGAGCTTTTCTTTATGACTTGCAGCAACATTGCAACTGGTAATGGTTTGAATTTATACATGAATTAAATGTTACTGCTTCTTTGAGAAGCATTTAGAAGTTGAAGCAGTAGGGAAGGATAAACATATATGGAGAAACAACGTCTTTATTACAGTGAGAACCCGTGAAGATCCAGGTTAGAACTGATCTTCAGCAACCCATGCTTGTCGTAAGAGGCGACTAACGGGATCGGGTGACTTTGTTGACACATGTCACTGTATCCCAATTGTGTAGATTGATGCTAATGCTGTTGATCACTGGATTGGCTGGTCCAGACTCGATTATTTACAGACTGCCGCCAAATAGCTGGCGTGCGACGACAAAAACAAACATGGTCAGTCGGGACACCAGTTGGTAGCTTACACACTTGCACTGAAATCTGCCTTGTTTGTGACATCTCGTATCCTTTCGCATGACACGAGTTTTTAATTATTTGCTTTTTTCGTTTCAGAAACGCGAATAATAAGACCACTAAACTTTGACGCTTTGATATAACATGTAACTTTTCGTCCTAATGTAAGGTCAATGGTTTATTTAGTGCATCACGCATCACATTAAAAAATACAGACATAACTCGTGCGTGAAACATATTGGTCATTTGTGATCACCTGAAGCGATAAATGCATTTCATTCTCAATTGGCAACACATGTTGCGTTAAGATATTCAAAATTATGCATAATGCATAACGGAGCAGTCGGAGCATTAACAACGAACACTACATACTGTATGCCATGCATATTTCATTCCTGATATTCACTCATGTGCATTACATTTATCTAATCCAGAAAGCATAAAATGTAAAATGTTTTCAATTAAAATGTTTGGAATAATTTACAAACTTCAATATGGTTAGGTCTTTGAGTTGCATTTAGAAGTGAGGCACATAAAGGAGTGAGTTCATGGATGTCCCTTTCTTTATTGTAAGGGTCGGTGGGGTAGTCTAGTGGTTAAAACTTTCTCTCGTCACGCCGAGGACCCGGGTTCGATTCCCCAGATGGGTACAATATGTACATATCTGGGTGCCGTTGCACAAAACAACCTTAGCGCTAAGACTACCTTAAGTCTATGTTAAAGTATGGGAGTTACGGTCACCTTAGTGCTAAGATCGCTTTGTACAACGGCACCCTGGTGTCCACCGCCGTGATATTGCTGAAATTTTGCTAAAAATGGCGTAAAACCCATCCTCGATAATCTTTAGGGTATACGTGGAGATTTATCGGAACATATATCCTGGAGATTATCGAGGATACGTAAAACCATACTCACTCACTATTAAATAGGAATGCTCAAAATTAAATTGGGAACGACTGCGTTCCTTCAGTTTGGGTCAGTTGCTTTTCATCTTGCATTTTTTTAATTAATAATGAAGTGTAGAGTCACTATACAATCGTAACATGTCTTCAACACAGATGCCAACACACGGGACGCAGACCCTGGTCACTGCGATGGTGTTTCAGTCGTCCCCGTCACGAGAAACTAACTCAGTAGGGCTCTTTTCGAGATGTTCGACACTGACACAGGAATCAGGGTGAGTTTCTTTGGGGTAAAAAAGTGAATCACCGTTCCCCGCCCTTTTTATTTCAGATGCGATGAAATTTTCGACCGTGATAGTCTAAACGCAGCATCCTTTGCGTTACTTGGCTTTCTGTCAGTGTAATCCTCTGTCAGCTGATCAAACTACTCAACCCACTTATACACATTGGTTCTCTGTTATGAGTGAGTGAGTGAGTGAGTTGGGTTTTTACGTCGCTTTTAGCAATATTCCAGCAATATCACGACGGGGGACACCAGAAATGAGCTTCACACATTGTGCCCATGTGGGGAATCGAACCCGGGTCTTCGGCGTGACGAGCCAACGCTTTAACCATTAGGCTACCCCACCGCCCTCTCTGTTATGAAACATCAAGATTTGAAAGTGGCTCAGGTTAGTAAAAAGGCAACAAATTGTCTTTCCATTTACTGTTTTATTGCTAAATGAAAATATATTTTAATACTAATTTATTTTACTCTTTAACAAATATAGAGTTCACATCAGAGTCAACACGCGGATATATCTTTAACAATAAACTGGAAGAAAAGGAGACTGTGACGTCATATAAGTCACGAGGAAGGTGATAAGTTTAAATGCGGATGGAGTAGAGGAGTTATCTCCCTGGAAGAAGTAGCGACAGGTGCTCCTTGAGGTCCTGGTTCTGAAATACACAATCACATTTGATCACACGTGAGTCGAGTTCCTGGATCGCGTGGGGTGGTAGTGTTCATGAAGGAGGGGAGACCTGTTTGTATTCTTAAGTAGGGATGGCGTTTGGGGGCTAGGTCTTGTTTTTGTGTGAAGATGATAGTAAGGTTGGGCAGGTTGCTGTTTTGTATGTCAGGAGATTGGCAGTGTTGTGCGAGTTGCTTTATTTAAAAAAGTGTCGAATAAAAGTTGACGAGTTGCTAGCATTGTGACAGGCTAATAAAGAGGTGATGAGTTGTCAACATAATAGAGGGTTGGGAGACTTGCTGTTTCTGTGAACGGATGAACATTGGGATGGATGAGTTGCTGTTTCTTGAGGATGGTGGAGAAGCTTGACGCTCCCCTAAACGCTCACATATCGCACGCACAGACGTACGCACATGCGCTTAACTCACCGTGCCTCTTCCCCTTCCTCTTCCTCTTCCTCTCCCTCTCCCAGTGTTTCTGCCGTTTCCGACGTTATTGTTCCAGTTCCCTCGGCCTCGGCCCGTACCACGTCCATTGTTGAAGTTCCCACGACCGTTTCCGATGAGTCCGAGGTTGTTCATGGAGAGGGGATCAAAGGCTGACACCGCCACTAGGAAACACGCTGGGAAACAGATTGGAGCAACTCGTCTCAGACATTGTTAGCTAGGGAAGCATAAAGTGTTACAGTCACAAGAAACTATACAGACCCTTGCATCAAAACTGCCTCTTAGGTCGCATGTTATCCCATATAACCCACAAGTCCAAATATTTAAGACGCCTAAAAACCTGCAACAACTGCGGGGGAAAAAACAAACAAAGACCAACCTAACCACCCCGTACTTCCGCTATTCCAACACTTCCGGCAAATTTCAAAATTCATACAAAAGTTAATCATGCAATCCTAACGCTCCCTACAGGTTGCGCTATCTTTTGCACAGGCCCTCGTGTCTTTGCGAGGATTAAAGATTTTTTTTTTAAAATATATAAATTTGAGATGACCCCCGACTCGAAATGCTTCACAGTACAATACATTATGTAGATGTACTGTGAAGCATTTCGAGTCGGGGGTCATCTCAAAAACAATATTTTATTAATCTTTAATCCTCGCAAAGACACGAGGGCCTGTGATCTTTCAATCAAACACTAAATGTCCTGGCGGGCCTATGTGCGAAGTACGCATTGCGCCCGTAAATTCTCCAAAATCATCATCGTCGTCACAAGGGCCATATTTAATATTTCTCTTTTACACAGTATTGGGTGCTTAGTGCTTACATTACCGTAAATGTCCCTGTAAAGTCACCATGTACATCAGTCACCTGAAGAAGGTCCAGTCAATACGTATCCTGGATACGTATAACGAATTCTTAATTTCTTTGTCTATTAATGAATCAG